AAAAAAAAAAAAAGAAATGACTAATCTTCTTCAAGAATGAAGAGTAGTCTGATTTCTCATTTTTTCCTGACTCACTAAAAATAGTATTTCGTATAAGTTAGAATAGTTCTTGAAAAATCATTGGACTCTTGCAGCTTCCATGAAGCACTCCATTTCTTGGGCAACTCAAACAGACACAGGCAGAATACTCATCTATTAAGCCTTGCAATCCACCTTGGGAGATATGTACTTATTCCCCCCCACAAACACTGGCCACCATCTACCCTGAGATTGTTTTTTTTTTCTTTTCCCTCATCTGGTTATCTGTTTCCCTGAATATATCTTTATTGTTATATACTTAAGTTTTATGATTGTATATAGCAATTCATTTGGTTTAGTTTTACAGCATCTCATTCTTTTTTTTTTTTAAGATTTTATTTATTTATTTGACAGAGAGAGACACAGCAAGAGAGGGAACACAACAGGGGCAATGGGAGAGGGAGAAGCAGGCTGCCCACAGAGCAGGGAGCCCGATGTGGGGCTCAATCCCAGGACCCTGGGATCATGACCTGAGCCGAAGGCAGACGCTTAATGGACTGAGCCACCGAGGTGCTCCTGGAAGGAGCTTTAAAAGATACTGGCCCCTGGGGCACCTGGGTGGCTCAGTTAGTTAAGCGTCTCTGACTCTTGATTTCGGCTCAGGTCATGATCTCAGGGTTGTGAGATTTGAGCCCCATGTCAGGCTCCCTGCTCAGTGGGGAGTCTGCTTGAGATTCTCTCCCTCTTCCTCTGCCCCTTTCCCTGCTTATGCTCTCTCTCGCTCTCTGAAATAAATAATCTTTAAAAAAAAATTTAGGGTGCCTGGGTGGCTCAGTTGGTTGGGCAACTGCCTTCGGCTCAGGTCATGATCCTGGAGTCCCGGGATCGAGTCCCGCATCGGGCTCCCTGCTCAGCAGGGAGTCTGCTTCTCCCTCTGACCCTCCTCCCTCTCATGCTCTCTGTCTCTCATTCTCTCTCTCGCAAATAAATAAAATCTTAAAAAAAAAAAAGATATAAAAAAAAATTTACCTCTGGCTGGCTCAGTTGGTAGAGCATGCAACTCTTGATCTTGGGGTGGTGAGTTCAAGTCCCACATTGGGCATAGCGCCTACTTAAATATATATATATGGACCCATGGGCTCCACCCCCCAGAGATTCTGATTTAATTGGTCTGGGCTGTGTCCTTGACATCAGGATTCCTCAAAGCTCCTCAAGTGCTTCCAGTCTTGAGAGCCATGGGTTGAGTTTGGTGCTTTTCAAACTTTAATGCAGCATCTAGGGATCCTGCTAAAATGCAGATTCTGATTCAGTAGCTATTGGGGGTGGGGACCCACTTTTGAGAATGAGTCTCTTATGTACACAGTTACATCAAGAATTTCAATTCTTGAGAGGGGGGGAAAGATGGCGGAGGAGTAGGGGACCCTATTTCAACTGGTCCCCGGAATTGAGCTGGATATC